GGCGAACTTAGCAATCAATTGAAAGCAGCACAGCGATGGTCTTCCCTGTGGCTTCACCAAAAACCAAATGAGACGTCGAGTCACAGTTGTGGCTTTCATCGCTGCACAACACTGTGAATGAGTAACAACGAGTTGTAAAGCTTAGCGATTGAGCTGAAGCTAACTGGAAAATATGAATGGATACTACCGCTCAGTGATAATTAAATTGCCTGCCAAGTCGTGAATAATCGTCGAGAACAAAGTGTGTCGAGTAAAATGTGTTCATAAACACCTGGTCATAACAGCAAATGGCCCTGTTGCAGGAGTGAGTGCTTTGTGTGTACGACGAGGTGCAGAGCTGAGGCGAATGCGTGGAGGACAACTTCGCAGCACGTTCTATGCACAAGCCCACTGTCCAGTGCACTCTCACTCAACCGAGACTTTACGTTCGGCGTCCGAAAACGTGGTTGTAAAACTTGCCAAAGCGCTGAGTACAGAAAAAACGCCCGCAACGCCCAGCTGGTGGCAGCCGTGTGTCCGGCAGGACAAGTTGTCCGAACGAGAGGAAAAATAGCCATTGGTCGAAGAAAGAAAAGGGCATACACGACAGATGAACAAAGGGAATCAGAGAGATTGCGATGAGGAAAAACGTTAATGATGGGAAAAAAATTATTCGCGAACATAAGTTACGAGTTATTTACGGTGTCGCTACCTTTGATGAGCTTTTAAAATGAGTAGTAGTGCAACGTTAGAGGGTGGTGAAGAGAGCACGAGAGAGAGATATAATGGACATCTGATACTGCGCAATAAAGATTTCAACCGGTGGCCTCCAGCAATAACGTTCTTTCTTTTGCCTCCTTCCATCCTTGAACATTGATTTGGGCGATCATTCGTCTATTGTAGTGCTAGGGCATAAACAAGAGAACGGCTTTATCATCTAACTGCATGGAACGGCACCCACCCGCCACCGTGAAAACATTTTAATTCGTTTGTCGAAGGGGAATGCTTCCGGAATTCTTTACTGTGCCTTGTATAGCAGATGCGCTTTGAAGAATCACCCAACTGTTACCCAGATTTTCCAACCATTTCTACGATCCAGCTGCTTCGCAACTGTTAGATGGTGATCCTTCGCAATCGGACACCTATTTCGTAAGAATTCTTGCACGTGTGATGTTGTCGGAGTACATCACCTTCTTGTCCTTGTGGCTATCTGCGGAAATAGCTAAAGAGCTCAAATAACGTTCATGAAAAAATACATCTTTTCAACGCAGCGATGCCCAGATTTGAGCAAAAATGGAACTTCGGGTGCGCTTCGGACTCTCGATCACCCTTTCCGGTGTCCCACGTGTTATTTATTCACTGCAACAACCGAGGCCCTTGCTTCATCTTTCTTCCAGCCAATTTTTACTCCATATTTTTTCGGTTTTAAAATCAACAAATATTCGAATTTACAGAAGAAAACAACGAAAAATACGTTCTATATTCGATTTCTCCTAAATTAATCGTGAAAGCTTGCAAGACTTCAAACCCGAAGCAATCGGACAAATAGGACGGTACTCCCCAATGAAGTATCGGTATTTGAGGTGGTTGAATGCATAAACATGATTTGTGGTGGCCTGCCGATGTATAAATGTACTGCTGTTTTTCATCCAGGCAAGTATGGTGGCAATATTCCAGTCCTGGACGGATGGAAAGCTTGGTGAGCATTGGGCTCTGGATCAAACTAATGGCAACCTGTCTACTACAGAGCACTTCTAACCACGTTACACATGACTCATTTAATATTACAGGGAGCAGGTAACGCAGTGGTGGTGACCCCGTTCATTACGCGAACGGTCCAACCTAGTAAGGCGGTGGTTCAATTCCACACCGGGAACACCAAGCCTCTCGTGCTTCTAGGGTCGGGAAATTGGTACCAAACTTGTCTGCGACACTTAATTCCTCTAAGCCACGGTGAAACACTCTAGCACGACTAACCCAGGACACCAAGAGAATCGACTCGACTAGCATTCAACGCCATTCGTGTCGAAGATGACAAAATCCTCAAACAGCAACCACACGTAAAATGTTCAAAGACCTTGGTGGATGGTGTGTACGAGGAAACAAATCGAAACACCCAGTGGGTGTTAAAAGTGAAGGATTTTTCAAAATCCAATCTTATGAAGCAAAGAAAGAGCCATTTTCGTGAATTTTTACAAACTTTTCACGAGTTTGTAAACTCTATGCTCATAAGAGATGGGATGGCTAAATTCCGTCGGTAAAAGATATTGTAAGTAACGTTTACTTCTTAAGATGATGCTGAAATATTTGCAAAACTCCGGAGCGCAGGTGCCTGTGGTGGAAACGAACGCGCTATTGTCCTTTCCGGGGAGTAACGCTTTCACCACCACACCATGCGGGTCCTTCGTTTCGCCTGTCTCTCAGCTAGTTTTGCAAATATCTCAGCATCATCTTAGTTGTATTCCACATGATACCCTGCTGTTAAAATTCATAGTGAGCAGTAAATAAGAAGGTTAAGGTTTACTTCTTATTTATTGCCTCTCATTTTCACGAAAGGGTATAACGTGGAAGGGAGCTGCGTGAGAAGAAGGCAAAGCGAGGGCCCTCAATAGTGCAGTGGATAACATGTGAACCTGTGAAAAGGTAATCGCGAGTTCGAATATGGATTGGTGTTCAGCTTTTGCAAATCTGTTATCATCATAATGCATCCCGCATCATTCCCAACCGTGAAAAAATAACTATATGCTGTAAATAATAAGTAAACGCTGTGATTTCGACTTCACCCTCAGTTTAACTGATTTCAATGCCGATTTGTGATCGCAGACTGCTCCAGTTGACGGGTGGTTGCAGTAGCACCATTATGGTAAAAAACTTGCTGAAATGAAGGCAGAACGAGGTACTCAGTGATGAAGTGAGAAACACATGGGCCCTCGGGAAGAGTAATCCCGAGTTTGAATTCGGGTTGGGAGCCAAGTTTTGCAATTATCTCAGCATCATAAAGATCTTGTAATAATCGGACGAAATGTGGAAGTGCTTCGTAGTCCAAGCCGCTAAGGCTCTTAACCACCACTTGTTGTGGAGACTTGACGTACAATTTCGTGAAGCAGAATTGTTTTCCTTTGTATGAGCAACACTGGCCGCAGATATTGCAGTCATTGGTGCACTTTTTCGATTTTCCGACGGCATTTCTTTGCAGTAATGGTTTCGCTAAAATTTTGAAAGTTGTAACTCCATCTGCCCAACACGAAAGAAATCATTACTTCTTCAATTTTAATGTAAAATTCCAGTCGTAAAATATGTTTTATCTGCCAACCTCGGCAGCACTTCGATCGTTGTCAGCTAACCCACTACTCCACTATCGGTCACAAGTTACAATGCGATCACAAAACTTGATACTTGAACGACCCGTCATCACTAGTTGTGCGGACCCCAGCATAATCTCCATTTTTCAGAGATTTGCTGGTTAAGCCATTGTGGTTTCCTGGAATCCCGAGGACAACCTGGCCAAAACCTGCCCCAGATAACAAAACAGATCTTAACCTTTTTATTTACTACCTATTCTTTTTAACGGCAGGGTATGTTGCGAAATATAAATTCTATAGTGCTGAGATATTTGCAAAACCCCGGACCGCACGTGTCTGCGGTGGAGAACGAACGCGCTATTGTCCTTTCCGGGAAGAAACAAAGAACCTGCATGGTGTGGTGGTGAACGCGTAACTACCCAGAAAGGACAATAGCGCCTTCGTTCCCCACCGCAGACACCTGCGGTCCGGAGTTTTGCAAATATCTCAGCATTATAGAAGTTATATTTCGCAACAAAACAGGTCGTTTTTTCTCGTGAAAGAAGGGAAGTTCGCGTTATACGACGCGACCTTTTGTTCACCGTACCGAAATTACTGTTTTGCCTACCTTTAGTACTCCCTATGTCTTTCCACTTCTAACTTCCTTCTCAATGAATCTGCTTCACTCAACGTCTTCAAGTGTTCGCCGTCGATTACAGCAGGTAACCTCTGATCATCCATGCCTTAAGACTTTCACCTCCACCGTGAAAAGTTCTCAAATCGACGTCGTGGCGTAGGCTATCTAGTCTTTCAGTGGTCAAATACAGCGTTGATGTTGCAAGTAATTTCAATAATAATTTCACTCGCAACTTTAGATTTGTGCAAAAATTGCTCATATTGGCTTTTTTACATCTTTCACCGAAATCCTAAGTTCAGTTAAAGTAAATTAATATAAACAATAAACAGAGGACGGTTGAAAACTCAGTGTTGTATTATTCGAGAGTTCACAATGAATAATTCAGTACAGAGAATAAAGGGCAAAGCGTTCGGCGTTGGCCCATCCCTGGAGGATCCCCGTGCATTCAACTTCCTCAAGAATCGTAGAGGTGACTGAATTCGTTCCTGGTCCATACAATCGGTGACCCGGCGATGTATCAAGGCAGTGTTGCCATCCTCCCAGAGAAGCCTGGTATACATGTTTGTAATGCAGCGCTACTCCGATCATTGCGCTACATGCTCTCTGTGATAATCGGACATACAACAATAAAACAAAGAAGGACATTAAATTCACTCTGTTACATCACTAGAGAGTCTAAAGACTTTGAAAAGCCGACTGCACTAAAGAAACCGGGCTCTTCTTATGAAAAAAAAAGCTGGATATAATACGAAAAAAGAAGAGGAAAAATAGTGAGAAGAAAAGAACGAAACCAAGCGATTTCCGAAAATATTCTCCAGCGAGTCTTGACAATATCATGTGTTTATGAAAATCTTCAGAATTCGAATAATCACAGACTGGGTTAACTGTAAGATGCGTTGAAGAGCTAATAATGCGCTCAGGATCGTCGAAGGTTCAAGTGGATCGCCTTTAAAGGTCTATACAGTAATGCATTTTTCATTAATTAGAATGATCAACCTGATCTGAACTATGTGTTATCAGGCTAAGTCAAATAGGCCTCTATGGACGGATTCATTTAAAAAGTTTGAAATCTTAAGTGCAGCTATCGATGAGCATGACGACAGATGCAAGATTTCATAATGGATTTGTGTAGAGCACCGGAAAAACGTGAACGACACGGATACGAAATGCATGTGGACATGGTGTTCTTGAAACATCATCGACATCAAAACATCAGGATGGTCGATCATCTCAGTGCAATGGACAAGTGCGAGGTGAGCGGATGGCCGTGGACCGACGGTCGTCGTGGATCGGGTGGCAGTACGGGGTGGCGCACATATGGACAGAGCGGCGCGACAGCGTTCCTCTGTGAAAAACGCGTTGGCGTCGCCATATGAGGCCCGGTGTTCCTCGTACGTGATCAGCATTCGGCAGAACATGAGGCGAGATGACAACAAGCAGCATGGGAAACGAAGATGCTCGAGGTCGGAGGAGTGAGGGAAATCGCTGGAGGAACTCTGCTGAAGGACGGATGGTGGAAGATGGTAGCGAACCAGACTACTTTTTTATTCAAAACACCGTTTACTCCACTTTACCTTTTATTTTCTGCCCGCTACAATTTTAACGGCAGGGTACTACGCGAAATCAACCTCAACGTTGCTGAGATATTTGCAAAACTCTGGACCGCAGGTATCTATGGCGAGGGACTCTTTAAATCTTCTTAGAAAAAAAAAACCGTTTACTCTGTGAAAAATTAGACAGCAGTGAGTTGGACTCATCAAAGACAAATTGCTGAGAAGTGAGAATGTCCGACAAAAATGAAATCAAGAGACAATAACTAGATCAATAATTCACAATTTCCACAAAAGATACCAGATAAGTGTTCCGCTTTGACTAAATCCTGAGTGTCGTGTATTCGACTTCACCAAACATCGCAAAGGTGATTGAATGCGTACTTGACACATTTAGTGACTTGACGTAGTCTATCGATATGTCTCAACCCGGTGTTTTTATTCCACAAGAGCAGTCTGGTATCAATTTGCCGATTCCGGAGGGCTAGAAGGGTTAGTGGGGCTGGAGAGCGCGATCGATCCAGCAAGCGATCCAGTTGTGTATTGCAGTGCATCACTGCGCCCACCCGCGTTCCTTTGTTTCCTAGTTCATCATTATCTTCCCATAAATTGTTAAGAACCACAGCACTTGAGGACTTGAAAGCAGGACGAAATTATAGAAGAGACTTTGTCATAGAGCTCCATGAGTGTGCTTAATTTTTTCCAAAATGTGGTTCTGACTGGAACTGGTTAAACGACCAAATTTTGGAAATTCGAAAAAAAAATTAAATGTTAAAAGATATTAACACATGGAAGTAACCAAAAAACACAGCGATTAACTGGTCTGGGACATCAGTGCCTCGTGCTGGACGAAACTCGTCTTCTTCAATCATTTTGTACTGTGAAATACCATTCTCGATAAAAAAGGCGAAAAAAGGCTCCTAAGACCAGAAAAGGCTCCACAAAAAATTCGAGTCTCATCATGAGATAATAGGAGGACTTATGCTTTTTTATCAAGTATCTCTAGATCTTATGAATTAATGGGATTCACCGCCAGCTAAAATATACTTGCTTGAAGTGGAAAGGCCAAATTATTTCCCTCATATATGACGCATCTTGGCCAAAAGGTCTAAAGGCTAATAATAAGCGCAACATTGTTCTTCATTTTCATGTCACTATAGTAGACCTGAAACAGTGAAGCAAATATTTAGGATATTTAGTTAAAAAAGTTATCGGATAAATGCATTCCAAACGAAAACTGTTAGAAGCACAAATACAACAAAAACCACGGAAAGTAAGATGCACTGCTAACCGCTCCATCGAAGTTGTAATTGACGACGCGAATGCTGAATTTCTCCACGAATTGCTAGCGATGAAACGGCAAGAGGAACTAACTTTTTGGTGTACTAGTAGGGGCTTCAGTGGAATCCAAACAAAACGGAAATACTACGGTCAGTCGTTATGGTGACGCAGTACGGAGTTTTGCACCGATGTTTTGCGTTCCGATTCGTGGGGAGGAGTGTTGCAGATCTGATATTATAGCAAAGGACAATACAACGTACAAATGATACCATCTGATGCGAAAACATCGCAGTGTGGGACACCTGAAGCACAAGGATTCGCCGGTTTGACCGCTTACATGGTCCTTGAGCCCCTCGAGATGAGACGAAGACTTTGTTTGTAGAAAAGAAATCATTGGCATGTTCATCACAAAACCTATGTGAGCTGTGTGAGCCAAACCGGCATTCATCATCACATGAATTCGTGAATACAACTCTTAACCCCTCAAAGCATGCCACCTTTTGGTATATTCAGAGCTCCTTAGATTTCGCAAGCACTTTATATTCGTTAGAAATAATTCAAATGACTATTCGTCTATGTAGCACGCCGGAATTTCTCGGTAGGTTTTCCTACCCGATTGAACTCAAAGCGTATATCAAATTTGTAAAAAAGTGAAGAACGCTGACCTCCGGATCGGCAGTTTTTGTGCTATGTACTTTTGCTTCATATGTAATGAAACCTAATGAAACCCAGATGCTAACGGCTCTTGCTCACCGGACGTCGTTGAGTTGCATCGTCCATCTGCATCACCGACTTCTAATTTCTAACGCCCCTCTTTCTCTCACCCTTGGTGGTCTATGAATATCTCATCTTCGAATCCTTCTCTTATTTGTATACTCCTAGTACCTTCCTATCCATAGCGCATGGAAAACTGACAGCCGCTTCTTCTTTTTGGCTACGTAGAGTTCAAGTTTCCAAAGCTTGAGATAAAGAAGGAAGAATCGTAGGTTCGAAAAGGTGGACACGAATGCTAATGCTCGTTGGCCTCTTCGATGCTGTAGCAAATTTCGCACTCGTTTTCTCCCATACACCGTGCGAGGTAGTTCTTCCATGATGTGGACTTTCTAACGAAGGCATAGTTGAAATATTTGAAGCTATTCGTTCCACAACGTGAATGAGGCAACAACACAAAAAAAGATCGCTAGCTATGAAAGTAGTTTTCCTAGAAGAAAGACCAATTTACCTAAACGTACTGGCGGAATCGGTTAGCATTCATTTCGCTTTAGTCCTGTGTCGTGGCGCAGTGGTCGGAGGCGCACTGCAACACACACGTGGAATCGATCCCTGCGCCCATGGCCCACCAAGTCTTCTATCCTTCCGGGATCGGGAAATTGGTACCAGACTTGTCTGGGAGGATAGCAGCACTGGCTTGATACTTCGGTAGGCCACTGCGAGTCATTGTAAAGGCCAGATATGCATTCAGTCACCTCCAAACGATGCTTAATGAAGTCGAATGCATAGCGCATCCCTCAGGGATAAATCAACGCCAAGAGCTTTATCCTTTATCCTTTGATCCTGTGTTACAAGCACAATGCCATCAATAAAGGAGGACACTGCAAGCAGCCGACCGTCGACTTTCTTTCCCATATTATCTCCAGCACAGCTAAAATCCCATGTTATCAAATGGCTTAGGATTTCTTCACTATGAGATTGGTTTACACCTAAAGAGAAGCGTACAAGGCAACCATCGTTGTTTCTGATTCGGTATAGTGAATTGGCGAACAACTTAGAGAAGTATTAAGACAAATGACACTTCTGTTCAGCAAACACGGGGTGCTATTTTATTTCTTTATTTACGCACAAGCTGACCTTTCGGCGGATTTCGCCTTCCTCAGAGCCTGGAAGGGTCAACTTGACAGCAATCCATTCGGCCAAACACCTCCATAACCAAACAGAGAAAACGCTAAACCAAGATTTCAATCACATTTAGCATAGTTCTGCACACTCACCGCTTTCTATGAGTCTTCCACTGAGTATGTCGCGTGAAGACCGACCGCACCAAATTCACATGGAAGCGTAATGTGCTCCTCGCTTCAGGATAATATTCTATTCTTAAATAATAATAATAATATTCTGGTGGGAGGAGCACATTACGCTTCCACGTGAATTCTGTGCGGTCGGTCTTCACGCGACATACTCAGTGGAAGACTCATAGAAAGCGGTGAGTGTGCAGAGCCATGCTAAATGTGTTTGAAATCTTGGTTTAGTGTTTTCTCTGTTTGGTTATGGAGGTGTTTGGCCGAATGGATTGCTGTCAAGTTGACCCTTCCAGGCTCTGAGGAAGGCGAAATCCGCCGAAGGGTCAGCTTGTGCGTAAATAAAGAGATAAAATAGCACCTCGTGTTTGCTGAACAGAAGTAGAAAGATATATTCAATCAATGCCGAGGTTAATAGAAAGTCGGACTTGCGAGTTACAAATGATACTGATTGAAAAAGGTTCGGAGATTCTATGACGGTAAAACACCGTTCCTGAGCAATGAATATTTGACGATTTGCTTTATGTTGGTCTATTTCACCAGGTAGAAAAACAACAAGTAGTAAAGAGCTATACAACAAAGTAAATGAGCAAATATCAACTAAATACCTATCCAAAAAACAAAAGGAAGCAATTAGCTAAATAAGGGAGTGAGTAACCCGTCATCGTAATTAGTCGTGGAGTGACTCTTGTCGAAGCCAGTCATGTCTCGATTCATCTGAATCACCTACCACAATTGGCTGGTGAGCTGAGCTCACTCTGTGGATCATAAATACACATCATCTTTTCCCAAGGGTGCCTTTCGTTCTAATGCTTTCAACGAAAGGGTACACACATAAGCAGCTTCGGTTCATGTTTTGCTACCAATATCTAAGAACTGCTCATAGAGCGGAAGAAGGAGACTGCGACGAAACGAAAGATTCTATTGCGAAATATATGTGAGTGTCAGAACATTAGGACGTCCAGAGGCACGGCCAGAGCATTGACTCGGCTCAGCACTTCGATGGAAATGTTAAGTGGAAATCAGGAATTGATGGAGGTGTGGTCTGAAGCCGCCTCCAACATTAACTGAAGGTTTCGTAGTAGCTTCTTCATCTTTTATTTTCTTCTTAAAGAGACCATTGAGCTAATTGTCTGCACAAATTATAAGTTCTCTCCTGCTCACTCCATATGTATCATTTATGGTATCTGTTTGCATTTACTCTATTTCAATGGTAAAAATTGATTAACACAGCTGAAAACAAGTCCGAATTGTTTTCACCTCGGTGTTCACGTTATTTGAGAGAGGAAAGGAATGGGTTTCAGACAGTTCATAAGATGGGCGATAATGTCTCGAATATTACTTGCCACATGCATTTCGCCATGTTCTCAAATGCCAATTCTCTTCTTCTAACTCGCCGCTTTGTGCATCATAGTGGGTCCAAGTGGCCGACGAATGTGCCGCCCACGACACCGTGTCACTCGTGAGAAACCACTCACGGGTCAACCAAACGTGGAGAACTCTACTAGAATGACTTACGAGTGTCAGTCATAGAACAACTCATTATTTTGTCAGCTGCTCACGAATTCGTTGATAAACTGGCCCTCTTTGGAACGAAGTATGCACTAGCGCTAGTCGAGCTTAGAGTATGGTACGCACATATCGCGCATTACTACACTGCGCGAAACAGTCGTGATCTGTGAACCGTTGAGCTGAATGTCAAATCATGTTCTTTGCTTACAGTGGGAATTTCTACTAGCAGTCTAGAACTTCTATTGTGTTCGTATTACCAAGTTTTTCTTCGTGCTTTCTACCATAATTCTTTGTTTATCAACATTTGTTATTGTTCATCTTGCTATGTTTTCAAAATCTTCGAGACGGTCTATAAACTGTGGTCGGAGACTTCAGAATTAAATGAGCTGATCGATGCGCGACGAAGACGCTACCTCGAGAACATGAACGACTGAACGACTGTGGACCAGCGACTCGGATCATCGGCTCTGATGAAGACGAAATCGTCGAAACGTTAGCCGAATAAACATCTCGTATCAACCTCGTGTAAGCTCAGCAATATAAAACACTTAGACACTTCAAAATTACTCTTTTGTCCCTTCCTTATTATGAATATTTCCCCGGTCTAATTTTTTTCATTCCTTCTATCTTCATGTAATTGTTTTCGTGTACTAACTGCTTTCGAGAATTGGACGAACACTTCAAAAAGAAAGAGAAAATGCAAGGGCAGACTTTTCTGACATTTTCTGCTCTCGCAAAAGTTGCGAAACTTCGTTTTCTGTAGAAACACTCGTTGGGAATTTTCAAGGAAAGAAAATGGAGGATGTGGAAAAACAACGAACTGGGTGTTTTTCAGAAGGCAAAATATTCGTATATATAAAGGATAAAAAACTCTCGATGTTGATCAATCCCTGAGGAGTGCGCCATACATTCTACTTCATAAAGGATCGTTCGGAGGTGATTGAACGCGTATCTGGTCTTTACAATGACTCGCGGTGGCAAGCCGATGTATCGAGCCAGTGCTGCTATCGTCCCAGATAAATCTGGTACCAATTTGCCGATCCTTGAGGAATGGAAGGTTTGGTGGGTCATGGGTACAGGGATCGATTCCACGTGTGTTGCAGGCCGACTCCGACTACTACGCCAAATGTGCCCTATATTCGTATAGATGAATTTCTTTACATCGTTCTTGGCAAAAAGAAAATAATTGTCGACGCAGGGCTATAGGCAAAGAAGAGTTACCAAGTTCTGTCGAGATTTGGTTGCTACTTTCTCGCCACTTTCACAATTTTTCGTCTATTATGAAATGCAGCTGTTTTTACTCAAAACCATTAATCTGCCAAATGCCAATTCTGAAATGCTATGAAAATCCTCATTTCGTCGCTCTCTCCCACATTTGCACTCGTATCGATTGCTTTTGAAGATAGAGTACATGTAGCGCAATACGAGTGGGCGCCATTCATGCACCTACAGTTACCGGCTGGGCTCTCACCGAGACACGTAGAGTCCCTGCAATGCAGCACACCACTGACGCTCGAGAATGCTGAATGGAAACATAACCTGTGCCTGCTCCGTTTACTCGATAATGAACAGGATTAGAGGTGATTCAGGTAGTATGCACACTACCGCCTCAGTAATTTGTAAAGTTCTTAAATGGGTTTAAATCTTCGACTCACAAAGTGTTTGTTATACATTGCTCTCTTGGTAAAAATTCAAGAGGGTGTTACACTATTTATTCACAACAGCTGTCGTTTTGGTCGTTTCGCCTTCTTTGGAGTCTCAAAAAGTGAAATTGACGCGGAATATACCCAGTTAAATGCTTCCATACCACCAACAATGAAACCCGAAGCCTAAATTTCATTCGCAATGGACGCCGCTACTTCAGACATTCACCATTTCTTATGAGTCTTCCATTCATTGATAGAGACCAACAGCACAGTGTTTGCTTTGGTGAGGAATGTGTTCAGCTTAAGTCAAAAAACTAGCCTGAGGTATCGCGCAAGGTCACAAGTGATCATAAGCCACTCCCTCTGCGGTACATTTTTGGGAAGCAGAGTGGTCTACCCGTTTTGCCAGTATATTCTAACCGCACGCTTTACAAGTGATCAGATAAACTGCACCCGAACTCACGCAATCACCTTTCTACCGTTAGGGCAAATTATGCAATTTTGCGTTGTGCATACACGGTCACACAGGCGGTTACAAACTAACTGGGATCTTCTTGTGCTCGATGGTGTCGTCCATGTTAGCCTTGAACGCCCCTCATCAACTCATCAACCGGTTTGCTCTCCTAGCAGCTAATTTTGTGGTAATCGCAACAGATGAGCATCCATAGTCTAAGAGTTTGCACATGCCCAGCACATTCTTAAGTCTGGTCAAAATGTAATAGTTCTCGCTCCGATCCACGAAGGCATGAGCTCTCTTGTGTGGACACCTAAGCACAGGTTTCTCATTAATCCATGGAATACCTTATGAAAACACCAAGGTAGCAGAAGCGTACTAGAAATCGTAGGATCCTGCGTGATGACGGCTTGCTGAGGCATTGAGGTGGACAAGTGAGTGAAATTTGAAACCTGTGTTATTTAGGAATAAAACAACAGAAACAAATTCAACACTACTTTTGAAGTTTTTTGAAGAGACTGGATGTCACTTGTCACAGAAATTTATCGTGAAAAGAAGATAAGATGAAAAGTGAAAGAAAGAATGTAGGTACAACAACACTTCAACAAAACACTGTTTCTATGCTAAAAATCCTACATACTAATTACAAAAGATCATAAAAAAGAAAGAAAATTGCTTGTTGCTCTCAAGTGTCATCTTCTTTCTGAAGGAACAAAAGCCGACCGGAGAGAAAGAGAATCGCTGCCAGCGCTCCGATACAGATGATCGTGAACAGAACACTGAAATATAAGGAGCAAAAGCCAATTTATTGTAGTATAATTGAGTTAAAATCAGTTTCGTTCGTGAATAGCTCCACTTGCTTGAAACTAGAAGCCGAGAGCAAATACGATATGAAAAGATCAATCTACTGAAGAGTTATCTAACCGTTCCTGCTAACGGTTTACCGCCTCATCGTGTCTGGGAGGAGTTCCTGGGTGTCGGGTTGCGGGGTACATCGAGTAGACTCATCCCCCTAGCAGGGTCTCCCAAGCTGAAAAAAGAGTCCAACGTTTCCATCAGGAAGCCCAGCTAACCATACACCAATACCAGGATCCCCTACCGTCATGATATCAAACTAGTCGCATGGTGGCAAATCTCCCTCTGATCTACAAGGGTGACGACTGCCTGGGGTGATGACGACCCGGGACAGACTTTGGTTAGGATGACCTCGGAACTCCGGGAAATCACAATAGCCAAACAAGCAAAACTCCGAAAAATAGACATTATGTTGGAGCCCCCACAACTAGTGAGGACGGGCCATCAAAGTATCCAAGTATCTAATCGTTGTAATATTTTCATCAAAGCATCTGAGTCAAAGGGAGAAAAAAAGTTGAACGTTACGGTTATAGCTAGGAATAGTAGTAGTTCCGAGAAGAAATAAATAAGATGCAGCAGTCATTTACAAATCATTCAATTGTTTTAGAGGATCCGGAAATAACCTCTGTTCTCTGGAAAGGCTGTGAGGTGCATGTTTATTGCTCGTAAACAAGTTCACTGAGAATATAGATCACAAAATGCATGATGACAGTGGTAGGGGGCGAACACTACTACTACTACAACGAATATGGAGAGAGAAAGAATTAAGGACATATGTAGAGCGGAGAAGAAGGAACCCAGCAAGAGTGAGAGCGAGAGGTAGAAAGGATGAACAAGAGCCATAGAAAACGGATACAGAACAGAGAAAAAAGGGAGAGCCGTGATTATTTTGGGTAGTTAATATGTAGGGGTACAGGAAGCGCAGTGCTTAGAGATGCTGTGAAGTAGTAAACGTATAGTCGTTTTGCATCAGGTACGTGCGAAAGCTCCCTTCTATACACTGGCGGCTGCTCGTTTTGGAGATATGGGAATGCTCTAAGAGAACTACCTCAGGATTCCAGGTAGGATCCACTCTATCGGCATTCAACGACATTCGTGAAGGTAATTTGAGTGGTAACGAAACCTATACGAAGATTCGAAAACTTTCTTGGGTGACTAATACGAAACAACGAAAGGAATGAAATAAGCGCTGTGCATCGCACAAGACGTGGTTATGACATATAAACTTAGAAGAAAAAGTTAAAACATTGACTGCTCACATGGCCCAAGTTTCGAAGTGGAAACAACACTGGTACGGATTATCGTCACAGCAGACATAGTAGTGAAGAAACGAATACCGCGGACATCTGGAATGCGCTTTTTTAGGTTCATCATGTTTACAACCTCCACCTGCTAGACAAAGTCATCACTGTGTCTTCTTAGCTCTCGATTTTAGAAGTTCCACACGACTTGTGCATGAAGATATTTGATACTTCGCAGAAAAAGAGCTATCACTAATGCATCTACATGGTGCATAAAACACTTCCAATGATATCGCTTATTTTAAGGCGCAAAAGTAAGCGAACAGTGCGCTTTTATTTCAATGCATTTTCCTCTCGGCCACTTCTAACCCACGGAAAAGAAACTATTTTATGATAGTTTGCTATTTTACAAACTTCACATTCCCTTTCAGACGAAACATATGTCGTCTCGGTGATTTTTCTTGGCAAAGAGGTTCTGAGATATTCCCATTGGCGAGAGTACCACAAATGTATTCAGATGTTCCGGTTTCCTAAGTACATGAGTCCCACAACAATTTTTTGTGTTTTCTATCGACTAATTGATGCGGAAACATGCTAATCAAAAGTACTTTATTTTCTTAAATAGCCGACAAGCACACGTTGGACGGTGTGCACCGAAATCGATGCGCACCGTGTCTGAAAAAGAGCTAGCCGCACCTGCTTGGCTGCTATGCGACATTAGGCAGTCTCGCGAATGTGTTAAATAATGTGTCTAATTCATTCGTTTGAAAGAACACTTATGAAAAATGAATGAAGTGCAAAAAAAAATGAAACAAGCGTGTTCTCATGACAACTTACTCCTCTCCGAATCGAAAGTCGATAGGAGTCAATGGCCCTATGGGAGCAAATGGACAAGCCCACACTGATGGAGTAGCCTCTGTTCTCGTAACAAGTAAAAGGGTGGCGAGGAGAATCATTGTGACTTGCTTAATGATGGAATGATGAACACTGAAAATAACAAGTGGAAAATGATCCTAAGTTTCAGATTGCAAACAGGAGAGGAAAGAATCTGCCTTGTGTAGCAGTAAGCTAAACTAAACTGAGAACTCAGATACTCGTAATTAATGTGGCATGTGAGAAATCTAATTTTAGAAGGAGATTATCAGAAACTTTGCTCAGGAATCCCTCCATCGCTTTGGCGGTGGAATAAAGTTTGGCAACAAGAGCACAGATGAGACTGGTTGTGGCTAACATTGGTTCAAAATTCCACTCTGAATGGCGAACGTCAACATTTCCAAACTCTGTGGAACACTTCTGAGGCTTCGTTTCCTCCGATTTTTCAATCGTCCAACCCCTTCCAGATGGACAAGTTACAAGGTTTTCAATCGTCTATACAACTCTCGTCATAAAACATAAAATCTCTACTTCATTAGATTATCAAGCTAGCACGAGTTTGATAAAAACTTCAAACGGCTAATGTCTTGACACCTTCGTCTCCTGCAGAGCCGGACTGATCCGAGTCCATGCCCTACAGGTGTTGTCGTCGCGACGTGAATCTTCCTTGTTGCACAGAGTTGAACCTTTTGGAGCAGAGCACCACTCGAATGAAGTTTCCTCACTCAGCGGGACCTTTTATACAGAGCAGTGAGATGACAAAAATTAGTAGCTGATCTACTACCATCCCATATTATCCGATTTTTTCGCCCGGCAAAGCATCCCGCAGTAGCTTAACTCGGATCAATGCCGACTTGTGCTCCCCAGGTCAGTGCCGTTGACGGGTGATTGATGATGACACCGTCAAGGTAAAAAAAGACTGATTGATAGAAAGACAAAGCAGGGGCCTCGGTGGTGCAGCGGGCAACATGAGCCCCCGGAAAGAATAATCACGGGTTCGTATCATTTGGGTCGCCAAATTTTGTAAATAACTCAGCATCATTATGGTTGTACTTCATGCAATACCTTGCCATAGAGAGAAAAGAAAATGATAGGCCGTAAATGAAAATTAGACCATCCTGAAATAGTTGGTATGTACTGGCTAGCACTGGAAAAATACGAAATCGTGTAGCTCATTGCTATATGTCATGCCAATTAGAGACCATTCCCGATTTTTTGGTCTATGCAGAAGAGTTGACTGGAACGAATATAAAAATATCCCTGAAACTGAAATATCGAAGTGTTGAGCGCTACCACTTGCATGATGTAATTAGGTTGTGGGAGAAAAACTAGTCCAGTGACGTCACAGGAGGCGCATTGCTGGAGCATTTCTGAGCACTGGAGGGCTGGAACATTTTCAGATATGGGTTCAGCATTGACATTTAAGAAGATTTGAAAAGTTCACTGAGCAGACAAAGTGGAGATTCAACTGAAGAAGCAAACTTAGAGTTGAGTTGTCCTTAAAAAATGAACATGGCATTAAGTGAAAGCAAACAGCAAAAATCGCATGAAAGCCTGTTCGGCCGACATGATTTAAAGTTCCATACATTACTTACTCCATGTAAGCGAGCTTAAGTTTGAAATAGAATCAAAAATTGTCTTCATTTAGTGGATTCCGTCTCCCATCTACCTCATGTAGTGGCAACACACCGATTTACTGAGCAAAAATCAGGAAAGAATTTCGAACCCGGGAGAATTTTTCCTTAGAGAAACGACGGTGGCGATCAATACGAGGGATCAGATGACAGGTTCGAGATTGCAAAAACCGTTGACGCGATTCCGATGGCACAATAACGATCACGACCGATTACCGCCAGAACAAGTTATCAACGTGGCTGCATAATGCGTTTCCGACCAGTATTCAGAAAGTCTAGCCATATATTTACTAGTGTTTTCGGTCGTGGTCGTCTGCATGGTTCGTAGATCCATTTGAAAAGAAAACTTCCTCTGAACACACCGTCTTAGGAAACTGTTTTGTTAATTTCAATTTCCAATGCTGTTCTCGATGAAGCTACGTTCCAAAAGTTTTATGTTTCAAAGAGAACGACATTATCCATTGATAAAGGATAAGGATAAAGCTCTCGGGGTTGATCAGTTCCTGAAGGATGCGCCATGCATTTGACTTCATTAAGCACCGTTTAAAGGTGATTGAATGCACATCTGGCCTTTACAAAGACTCGCGGCGGCCTAGCGATGTATCACGCCAGTGCTGTTGTCCTTTCAGACAAGTCTGGTACCAATTTTCCGACCCCGGAGAGATGGAAGTTTGGTGGGCCATGGGCTCAGGGATCGATTCCACGTGTGTGTCGCAGGCCGCCTCCAACTACTGCGCCACGTGCTCCCAATTGATTGATGGTTCCACCAATACCGCTCTAAGCAAAATGAACGAGTACACCTCATCCAGTAAAGCTCATAGTTGAGATCCTAATCTATTGGTTTTATCGCTAAAATTGAGGAAGCACATAGATCATTCGACTGAATTACAGACTAAAAACCATCAGAATACTCTTTTGAATACCCTAAAAACAAATCTCCATTGAACCTTTTCTTTATCAGATTTTTCGGATCATCATCCTGGCTTTGAAGAAAGCAAAGGAGCTGAAACATTAGCTGGACAAGGTTTTTATCAACCTCATGTTAGCTCATTAATCTAGGAAAATATTAATGAATCTTCGGTACGAGCGGTAATAAAATGATTCAGTTCCTGGTTGTTGATGAAATGCGACCAGGAGAATCGTGTATGACCACTCTTCGCGAGAAGAATCAACTCTGCACATCCATCAGAAGACATAGCCACGAGTAAAGCAATATCGTGAGTTAACGGTGAACGGGGTTTCTAGATCGATGATCTCCTTCTGATTAACAGTTGCTGACAATCAGCCTTACCCGTCATGTAGAAGACGTTCTTCCGATTCGCACTGGGTGACAACAATCTGTGGCCGCAACATGGGAACGGCTTATCAGGACTATCTCGGAACTGAGTGAAAAAAATTTTGGCGAACCATCAACATTGTCAAGAAACTGAAAAGTGTTCTGCGACGTCCACGATTTCTCACTCTAATCAACAACCCAGCAAAATAAGGAAAGTACGAAGGATCAGAACTGTGAAGCAGAGAATCGCAAGGGATAATCATAGATAAATTCCAAGAAGTGAGAGAAAGTACTAAATTATTCAGCATTGTGCAAGCTTTTATGTCACTTTCAGATTACTATTCCACTATTTAGGTGAATTAGACAGTGTTACAAGGAAATCGTTAAAAAAATTAAAGGAAAAACGTAAGGCATTAAAAGCCTTCAGTTGCACACGTTGAACAAAAACAATTTAAGAATACGCATAGTAGTTTAAATACAAATGCAACAGGGTTGTAAAAGTAAAATATAAAATATAAAAAAAAATGACGGAACCGATAACGCAATGGTAGTGGCGTTCATCATCAGGAGCATGGTGCTAGTTCGATTCCGCTCCGGGCCGACAAAGCCTCTCGTCCCTCCGGGGTCGAGTAATTGGTACCGGACCTATCTGGCAAAAAAAAATCACATGCATTCCAATTGGGAACGATTTAGCCCGGCCATCTCAGGACTTCAAGGAGAATTTCTCGACCAGGATTCTACATCATTCAAAATGAAATGGAAATCTTTTGTTTCAGTTTTTCAGAGTTTTGCAAATATCTCAGCAACGTTGTAGTTGTATTCCGCTTAGTAACCTGCCATGAAAATTATAGAAGGCAGAAAACACAGAACGTAAAACATTGTGATTTCAACTACAGCCATAGCTTAACTGGGTTCTATGCCGATTAGCGCTTCACAGCGGTCAACCCCGCTGACGGGTGATTGCTGTGGCAAAAAGATCGATAGAAATAGCTGAGAGACGTGCGAAACAAAGGACCCGCATAGTGTGGCGGTGAACGCGTTACTCCCCGGAAAGAACAATAGCGCGTTCGTTCCCCACCATAGACACCTGCGGTCCAGAGTTTTGCAAATATCTCAGCAACGTTGTGGTTGTATTCCGCTTAGTAACCTGCCATGAAAATTATAGAAGGCAGAAAACAAAACGTTAAAACATTGAAATGGAAATCCTCAAGCAGCAACCGAAGCCACACGTAAAAGTTGTAAGATCTTCGTGAACAATGGATGCGAGGAAATGAATCGAATGTGTGAATTGCTGGGATCCTCACAGTAGACGTGAAGACCGACCAAAAAATAAAATAAAAAATAAAGAGAGAAAAATGAGACTACCTTTATCAACTATTTACTTGTTAACTTAAAAACCAGCTTTCATTAGACCTCGGTAACAATAACAAATAATTTTGGGGCCATCCAACGGTTTACCGCCTCATCGTGGCTGGGAGGTGCTCCTGGGTGCCGGACTGCGATGTACAACGAGGGGTTCATTCCCCGGCAGGGTCTCCCAAGCTGAGAAGGAGTCCAGCGTTTCCATCAAGAAGCCTAGTTAAGAGTAAACCAATACCGGGATCCACCACCCTCCTGGTATCAAACTGGTCGCATGGTGGCAAATCTCCCTCTGATCCACGAAAGCGGCGACTACCTGTACGAACTGGGGCAGGCTTTGGCCAGGCTGACCTCGGGATTTCAGGGAACCACGATGGCTTAACTAGCAAATCTTCGAAAAATGGAGAATATTCTAGAACCCGCACAACCAGTGAGGGCGGCTCATTCAAGTGCCAATTGTCAGTGATTTTGGGATTAAGCAGACACAAGATTGGTATAGAAACTTCTATTCGAATAAGGTTTTTATACCTAGTTCGTGTCAGCTTAATCGGAGAGAACATTATCCTCTCGTCTTTTAATCCTTATTTATAATTTCGTCGCAATTTCGGAAACATTCTGGAAACTGTTGCCTACGGCTGACGCAGTTCTTACATCGTTCTAATCACTTATCGGTTTTTCATCCTTTAAATACATCATTTTTAGATTCTGAATACTACACGTGCTCATTGCAAGATGTCACTTCTTTGACTAACACAGTGCTTGATTATCGTGTAAAATCTTATGCATGTAAAATGCATGAAGATGAATGTGTACTTTATTACCGAAGCATGGGCTTATCATGACCGTCCACCTGAACCCATCAAGTAGATTCGGATAGGCTATCTTAATGAATTCATAAATAGATTATCAGTATGGCGCTCAAATTATACGCTACGCTCTCACTTTGGACTCTTGATCGAACAATTTCCTTCTACGAAAAGCTAATGTACCTCACCTTCCGCATCTCTCAATGGTCTCCCACTCCATTATGTTCTGACACACAATTCCCGACACTCAGAGTTCCATAGCTGTTGCGAAGGAGACTTGTAGTCCCAAGTCGGCAACAGGCACGGACAAATCGGTCTCGATAACGAACACAAGAGACAGCGAGAAGTGGTGGCTTTTCCAGAATAGGCGACAAGTTTTTGGCAGACTTGAGAACGTAACAGAGTTATAGAGAAAATTTTCATCTATCAACGTAAGGATATATATGTTATTATTTTCGTTTTTTTTTCATTTGATTCGTCTTCACGTCTACTGCACGGGTCCCAGCACTTCCCACATTCGATTCGTTTCCTTGCATCCATTCCTTGTCCACGAAGACCTTCCGACATTTACATGTGGTTTCGGTTGCTGCTTAAGGACTTCCACTTAATCTTGAATGCTGTAAAATGCTGGTTGAGCAATTCTCCTTGGAGTCCAGAGATAGCCGTGCTGGAGCTTCCTAATTGGATTGAAGAGAGTGATTTTTTTCCCAGGCACGTCCGCTTCCAATTTCTCGACCCTGGAGAGATGAGAAGATTGGTTGGCCTGGAGCGGAATCAAACTACCACCGCTATTTTTTTTACATCTACCATCAAACCGAATTGCTGTCGGCATTTTGAATTGGTGCGCAATTTATATTTGCACTAACCCTGTCTTTTTCGCTCTTTTATGTACCAATCCATAACTCAAATTTCTCACGGCAACTGAATTTGAGATAAGACTCAACTGCTGTTCAAAAACTGAGCATTATTACCACTACTTATTAGGTGGAGCAGGTTTTTATACAGTAATCCCGACAAATCTTTGCAACTATAGTTAAAAAATCAAAAACTTGATGTACCTAGTAAATGTATCACACTGTGCCGATTTCAGCACAGCTTGAATTCGATGCGTTTCTTCACATCCACCATTCACAAAGCTTTTCGAACTTTTCTCATCGATTTATGCTTGTTGAGGGCTAGTCGAGTCGATTTCCCATGGAATCCTGAGGTAGTTTTGCTAGTGTGTTTACACGTGAATTAGAGGGAGTGTCCCGAACAAGTTTAGCATCAATTTCCCGACCGAGGAGGGATGAGACGTTTGGATTGGCCGCTACAGCGTGCTACCAAGACTTGTGGGTAGGGTGGGCCGTCTGCGCAGCCAATCAGAGTCAAGTTTACTTATACTGATTGATTAAAATTCCGATCTTCTGGAGTTGATGAAAACGCGAAGGGCAGTTTCACCATTGGTTGATTTACTGAAGCTTTTCGTACACAGGAATTCATGGAGACGTTTCGAAAAAGTAGTACATGGTAGGCGAGTGGTCTGGCAAGTCATTAAAGCTTTGTGGGATCGGTTGTACGACGCGTCACCGCGCAATGTCCTGCAGAAGGACTGGTCCCGTTTTCACTGACCAATGCGGGATGAAACGGTTGAAGTATCTACTGCATTTCGTCAATTTACTGGATGACAAACCACCAAGCAATCCAACCTTTGGTGCAATTTCGGCCTTGAGAACTGCCGCAGAGAAGCACGGTCCAACCACTGAGCGGGTCGTTGCCAGTTGTCATAGAGGATCCGCTTCTTATCGCACTTCACAATACGGTCCAGAATCGCAACGTAGTGGTTGTGCAGCAAGCGCATCGAGGGTACCTCGAAACGGTGGATTTTCTGGTTGCCGTCCAATACTTGTGGCACCCATTCGTCGTGCTTCTTCGACTTCCCAACTTTTTAGACGCTCCGGAATACAACCACAATGATGCTGAGATATTTGCAAAACTCTGGAGCACAGGTGTCTGCAGTGGTGAACGAACGTGCTGTTACGCTTTCCGGCGGCTAACGCATTCACCATCACACTATGAGGGTCTTTCGTTCCATACTTCTCTCAGCTAATTTTTATCTATCAGTGCCATCAGCATTTACCCTTCAACGAGGTCACAACTACCATCTATATTTTAGACTAATCAACACCAAAAATTAAAATCGGATGTAACTTCTATGATGCTAAGATATTTGCAAAACTTCGGACCGATGGTGTCTGCGGTGGGGAGCGAACACACTATTACCCATTTCGAAGGCTAACCTGTTCGCCACCACACCATGCAAGTCCTTCGTTTCGCATTTTCGCAGCCGTGTTATTAACCTGTAGGTGCTATCAGCAATCAATCGTCAACAAAATCGATCCCAGCCATTAAAAAAAATGAGAAAATAGTAGGAAGTAAATAAAAACTGACGACATTGTGATTTACACTACAGCTTCAGCTTAACTGGTGTCAATGCCGACATGTCCTTCACAGATCAATCCCGTTTACGGGTGATTGCCGATAGCACCTATGAGTTAATAAAACGGCTGAGAGAAAAGCAAACGAAAGACTCTTATGGTGTGGTGGTGAACTCGCTAGTCGCCGGAAAAGTCAACAGCAGTTCCCCACCGTAGACACCAGCCGTCCGGAGTTTTGCAAATATTTCACCATCATTATGGTAGTTATTGCAGTATCGTTCATCGAAAAATAACCTGGTGAATGACCTAGGTATAAAGCTTAACAGGAGGAATACAACAATGCCTGATATTCTACCAGAAAATACACCCTTCGGCTCCACGTTTATCTCGGCCTGCTTCAGTGCCAGATGCGCTCCAATGCCTATCCTTGTCCCATGATGCATGGCGCAATATCTGAATTTCTTGCATTCGCTTTCACCGTCTTTCCACCTGTAGGTGTGTTCCAGTGGATTCTTTTTCTGTTGGTTCAGTAAATGATTTCTATGTCTTATAGGCTTTTGAACCTGGATTTTGTGTGGCAGACGGAAATGGCGATGCAGGACCACTCACTAGGAGCCGAGGTCGTGTCGTTTTGCCCCGAATTGGAGCTGTATCTCAGTCCTATGTCGCGGATTGAAATAAACATCAAACTTCCGAAGGTATCTCTCGTTTCTTGACCAGTAGCTGTGCAGATGTTTAGTGTTAATAAAGATCTATTAGTGATATTCCATCGGTCGCTCCCTGCAATTATGAACCTTCTGTCGTTTTTCTTCATGCTTGGAAAGTTGTCTTCTTAGTCCCGATCATAACAGCGCCGTTATCCAAGGAATTCTTTTTAACGTGCTTGTAAAGTGCAGGCATTCTTAGACATAAGTAAGAAAGAAATGTCCAGTGGATGACCATCCAGGTTTCGTGGAGATGATGGGTGGCGGAGCATTTTGATTTAAGGCCACTTTGTCAGTTCTTTCTTGCTAAGTTAAAAATGATGCTTAAAACTGAGCAAAGTGGAGAAAATCACCAATTTCTGCTTAGTTCACGATACCCGGCCAATCGATATCAAATTGGGATCTCATGGAAAGGTTGAAGAAGGGTGTCGCACCCATTCAGGTATCCTTTCTATTTAATTTGCTTGTTATTGTACACGAAAATGTCCACTTCACTAAATTTAGTTTTTGTTGTGAAGATATGAAGGCATGTTTTAGTTCTCTACCATTCGAGTCACAGAAAGTTCACTAGAAAAAGTCACACTTGAAGCAGATCTTCCCACAAAGAAAGTAATGAAGCAGGTCACTTCCCGTTCTCCTCTGTCTCCTAAAAAAGTTGAGAAACATCCTGCGAGTCATTAATTCAGTTGTCTTACAGGCTATTAAGATTTTGGAATCAATGACGGTTAAAGTGAGTGGATTCAGCGACCCAGTACGAGTGCGTGCAGCTGAAGCAAAATCTGACTTTCCTAGGTAGGTTTCCATCATAATAGTTCTACGTTTCTTAGTTTTTAATAGTTTTAATGTCGAGGAAACTTTCTGCTTGTCTGATACCGTCTTTTGATATTGTAATGTATTAATTAAAGTCGTTTTGATTTTTTAGTAGACATGACTGGGACCTTTTCTACATGAAAAACAAATTGGATGAGAGCAAACCAGGCGAACGGCCAGATACTATTTATATGGCGAAGATTCCAATCAAGTGGTTTGCAGTGAGTATCGTTTTCTTTATAGATTTACTGGCTTTGGTCATAGTTCTACCTTATAGGAAAAAGGCTCCGATCTCCCTAGTGAAGATCTGCTGCGGTTCGCAATGGAAGGTTTCGGTAACGTAAGGATGGTTGACATCCCAGTATGTGATGAAATTCGTAGAGAAATGGATCCTGAGATCAGTGGAATAAGGAATAAGGGATTCAGCTTTGGACCGGTCGGTGTTCTTTGTTAGTACTAGCACTCCAGTCTTGTTGTGCTTAGGCTAGATTTTCTTTCCATTGGTATGAAATTTTGACTTTGAATGATTGCTTGGAAGTCTAATATTTTTCGATCTCATGCTTTATAGGACGTCTTTTTTGAAGCCTACGTTCAATTCGCTGAATATAGCGGTTTTGTTAATGCTATGGACTCACTCAGAAATATGAAATGGACGAAAAGAATTGATAAAAAAGTGTTTCATGCCAATGTGAAGGTCAGTTCGAAGTAGCATTCAGATTACAATGTTAAAATTAGGCTTGTAGTAGGTCAAATTTATGTTATCCGTCTGCTTATCTAAGACAGTGTCCGATTTTTCAAGTCATATGTGGAAGGTAGTCGGTTCAATTCTTTTTTTCGGGGTACAAGATTTTTTGCTGTGACTTTTGCATTTAGTCGATTTTTTATCTAAAACGGACTGGCGTTTTGGGTCTCGGACTGTAAAAGCCGTTCTCTTCAATAATAGTTTGCACATAAACTGATTTTCGAACGAGTTAGACTGTTTGGGGCAAAAACATCGCTAGTGAAAAGGGTGCTATAATGCTTCTATTGTACTTCGTTAGGTCATTTCGACGCTTAGCACGTTTGGGAGGACTTGTTTAGGTGTAATTATAGCACAGTTGTATACTTGGCGTCAACAAAACTTGTCTTCAGTTGGGTTGGACGTTTACCAATACGGCTCCCTATAGAGTGTTATATCTCCGACTCATGTTACCGTAACATTTCGTTACTGTTGCAGACATAATGCTCATATGGATGTACTTTGCTTCCAGTATTTCTTATAGTTTGCTTTTTTCTGATCTGTTTATGGTTTTTACGAGCTAAGACCTCTACAGTTTTCGTGGAGACGACCTAAACCGAAAAACAGCTCTTTGTTGCATTAGTGGCATCTACTACTTACTTGTTTGGTACATATGTAAACAGACCTCCAATCTTGAATTTGTGCTAATATTTTATAGCAACCAATACGTTGTCTCCAGTTTTTGGAATCTTTTTACATCCATGAGCAGCAGAGTATAACTGCGTGCATCTTTTCCTCCGAAATCAAGCGTATACTTGGACTCTGTTGTTGATGGCAGAGTTAGGTAGAAAATTATATGAGAGAGAAACAAGGCAAGGGCCTCAGTAGTGCAGTGTGTGATACACGAGCCTACGGAAAGGGTAGTCGTGGTTCGATCTGGCCTGGGGCTAAGTTTTGCGAATATTGCAGCAGCACTGCGGTTCTGTTGTTTGATATTCTGTAGCACCATGGAAAACATCCACCGTGTGTTCAACAAACACCGAATGACCTAACGGATGAAAAGACATGCGAAAATCACAAGCAAGCATCTGAACTCATAGTGAACCTTATTTGCGTAAGGTGCAAGTTTTTTTCGCTTCCCATTTGAAATTCTGATTTTCTGGGCATAAAACTTTTTTCGCCGAAGCTTTAAAAAAGTTTTTTGGACTGAAACCTATTGAACAGGTGGGGTTTCGTGCAGCAGAACGCGATGACGTCTCGAAATGTACTCTTTATGTTTGCTGCACTTAATTTTGAGCTCTGAAAACCTGTGCCCGTTTTCAGTTTATGAAAACTTTAATTCCGAATAGAACAAAACGAGGGTGGTATTTTGGAAAATGTCTTCCTATCTGTTCATATCCTAGAGTGTGACATGAGGCGATACTTTTTTTATAGATTTGTCAAGTTCTGGAATCTAGGAGTATTTTAGTACTCAAAACGGAACATATCAATGGTCCACAATCATCCATAGTCTGTGAACCATATGGAAGTGAATTTGAAACAGTATTTTGATACCTCATTTCTAATCACTATGATGAATCATAATAGTCTGCCAACATCTTGCCCTCTCTGAAGGCAGCGAAGTGGGCGACTTAGTTTATGGAAGGCCCACAGTGAATTGATTTCAATTCACAGCGCAATTCGCGAGAGCTGTGGCGTCATTCAGGCAAGGGATCCACGTGGAATTAAGAAATTACACAAAAATAAGTGTTCAAATCTCTAACATATGCACCTTTGTTTTCTACCATCCGGGACGATAATGAAATACTTTGATTTATTAGGTGCGTTATGCTTGTGTTGTTAAGGTTCTAACTTTTTTATAGTAGAAACTGCGTTGGATTGTTCTCACCGGAAAACAACTATTGTTTCTTTGAAACGCTCGAGCGATATTTTATGAAAACAGAGTGCCATATTCTTTTTGAATGTTTCTCAAAGTCTCCTTTCATGAACGAGCGGTGGTGGATGATTGCCAGCGTACTCTCAGGTGGACTTCGATCGAACTCGTCATCTAAGTGATGCGAGCATTAAGCAACGTCAAGCCGAGCGCGAAAGGATTTACGCCGAGAAGCGGCAGATTGTTGAGGAAGAGAAGCGTAGGATGTTAGCATAAAACGTCAATAATTTAGTGCCTCAGTATACTACTGGTTTTGCGGTCTCATTACTTCTTTTAGGGCAGAAATGGAGGCGGAAGCACGAAGAGTTTTGGAAGAGAAGGAGAGGAAGCGAGAAGAGCGCGAAAGGAAAAGGAAAGAAAGGGTACCTATTGGATGTATTATCTATCTATAGCTACTACTTTATCAGGGATAGAAATTTTTGGTTATAGTACGAAACTGAGCGTTTGAGAAAAGAAACAGAAAGACTGAGGCGGGAAGAAGAGGTGCGCCTAGCTAAAGAACTAGCTGAAAGAAGACAAAGACAAATTGAGGCAAGGATTGCAGAGTCACGCTATCTTCTTGAAGTTGTGTTTACACACATCCAGGTACCTTATCAACGTTGCTTGGCAGGTTGTGTTATAAATGACAAGCAGATTCTTAGGCTAGATCATTGTTGAGTGCTGATTGAATTTTCTAGCGGAAAGAAGATCGTCGAAAAGAAGTGCAGGAGGCACGTCTCAGGGCTGAACAACGTGCTGCAGAGTTGGAAGATATACCCACATTTGATAAGGAGCGATGTCTCCGTGCAATGTTATTGCGTCAACGGGAAATTACAATGCGTGAAAAGGTAGCAGTACATTTTATTAATTGTTACCTCGTAAATATCTACATTATTTGAAGAAACAGGTGTAGGAGTGTAGAAGGGAGGGCACCCAATCTGAATCTAGAAAGTGGTGAAAGTAGAATTAAATCGAAGAAAAGCTGCCTCGAATATCTTATTTCCTGGTCGTCTTCTGTCATTTCTCTTGATTTAATACGATTCTAGCCCAATAAAGGCTAATGAGTGTGGAACCTTATCTTTGGTAAAATTTACTACATTAGCTCTTTTTCAGCTTAAAGAGAAGATACGTCAAGCCAAAGATCAAAGAAGTCCTTGCACAACTTTTGTGAAAAGCTGCATCATGCATCATAGCCCTATCAACCAAACATCTAGCGACCAGCAGTTCAGTGACGAGTCGCCGAACCTCTCAAGCAGTAGTACAGATCGATATTCGAAAAAGAAGCGGCGATCATCAAGCAGTACCGATTCAGATGTTGTCAAGAAGAGACGACAGCGGAAGAAATACCGTTCGAAAAACGATGGTACAGAGGATAGTGATAATGACTCGTTGAGAAATGATTCGCATAATGTCGCTGGGAAGAAACATCGTTGTGGTCATAAAAAGAGAAAGAAGAGGCGAGGTAGCAGATAGTGTATTGTCATCTTCGTCAAAATTATTTTGTTTGTATAGTTCTCTGCATAGTTCTCTTTGATTGTTTTGTGTTTGTTTTGCAGCATCCATCTTTATCGGGTATAACTCTTTTGTAACTTTATTCACTTTACATAGGTTGAGTTGATTACGATGTGATTTGAAAACTCGTTCGGTAATGAAGATGAGAAATGGACCGTATTCGCATCTTCGATGACGGCTCTACATTGCCTAGTTTTTCACTTACATCCACGTTTTATGATTTTGGATGAGCTATTACGAATTCTTTACTGGGAACTAGAGACGTGTTCTGTTGCAAATATTCTTGTACAGTAGTTCGATGATCGGGAGTATTTCGACGGCCAGTTCTTCGTTATCGAAAGGGATAAAAATAAATAAAGAAAAACAAGATAAATATAGCTAGGAGGTTGAGCAGTTGATTACCTCACACGTCCATCTGAAGAAAGTTGCCTCCGTTTTCGCAGCTCCAGATGAGCATTTCGTAGTTCGGTGATGAGGTCCGGCGGTATGACTGCAAGTGCAGTTCTCGTGTAATGTAGGGGAGTTGTCGGAATAGATCTTACCAAGTATTTTGTGGAACGACAAAGTATTTAGAAGACTTGGAATTACTTAGTTACTATAAAAACTATGTAGAGGTGGATGAGGTGACCGATGTAGAGTCTAAACGAACTGCTGAGGCTTGCCAAATCGTTTCAAAGCTGTTTATATGTGATGACACATGCGCTATGATCACACTGTATGAATGAAAGAATTGTCTTGTATTCAAAGCACAGTTGAGCGTAAAGTTTTAGCATCACACGGTCACACTAGGGTCGCGTATATCTCTGTGATCGGAAGCGCCCTACAATACATATGGGATCGATCCCTGCGCCCCAGGCTCACCATGGCTTCCATCCTTCTATGGTCGGGAAATTGGTGCCGGACTTGTCTGGGATATTAGCAGCACTGGCTCGATACATGGGTAGGTCACCGGAAGCCGTTGTACAGACCAGATTTGCATTCAATCACGTCCAATGATGCTTAATGAAGTCGGATGCATGGCGCATCTTTCAGGGATAGAAAGACGCCGAGAGATTTATCCTTTACCCTTTTGCGGTCACATTTATCGAAAACGCTGCAAACCTTAGTAATTTAACCAGAACCATAGGTAAAGGCTATTCGCGTTCGAATTACCTTTTGCTTTTAATGTGTCGATATGTTCGCAAATTCTACTAGGTAACCCACACAGAACCAAGTGTTTTAAATGGTCTATAGCTCTATCCCACTCTACATCAACATATAGATTCATTCTACATTAATGGTACATCGTTAGTGTGCTTGTGTCCTATGTGGTTCACTCACTTTGAGAATGTTCATTTTGCAACATGGAGATTTTTCGTTGTGCTCAACCGCTCATCGACCAAGAGAAGCTAACCCTTACACTCAGTCGTTTCGCACAGAAATGAAGCAGTATTTTAGACGAGGTGGTTACTGATTTGAATTCCGAGGCAGGGATACTGTGGAGAGGGTTGCTGGCAAAGAGGATACGGTGATAGCGAGACGATCACATATAAGAGGGGAGCTAAAGTGTGCTGTGCATTCTGATATACTCATGGTAGAGGTAAAGGTTGCTGCTAATCTGGCACCGACCTGGTGGAGTGGGGGAGGGGCATTGTCCTGAGCTCCAGGACTGTTCGAGTGAATACTATAGCATTTGGCGTCAAATGTAGACCCTAGCTAAAATTAACCATCGTTTCCAGAGGTCAAGAAATGGAGGAAGTAGAGAGCAAAAAGTTGACAACGCACGAAAAATTCCGAATTTTTTCGATTTTTATTCGGAAATGTCATACTGTATGCGACTGTGTTCTGACAGAATTGGACGAGTTTCAGGCATAAGTTGCCAAGCTTCTGATGAGTGGCGTATCTAAACGGCTCTATGATGCAGAAGAGAGAAGTGTCATAGTGAACATCTTGACCGAAGTGGTAACGGTAATAGAGTTTAAAGTACATTAATCATACTTAGTGCTTCATTTGGTCATGTATTTCTTTTTTATCTTTGTATGAGTTCATCCAGCAGTGAGTTGTTCTATGAAGTGCATCTACCACAAAGTAGTTCTGTATGGTGCATTTATTGCAGTGGAATACACCGTAAAATAATGAAGGTTTACACTTAGATCGTGCTATTTATGATTTATCACGTGTTAAGTAGAAACTTCCTTATGGATTTCGCCCGTTCAAAAGGCCCTTTACTTTTACTATTTTCGGCAGAGAATGGGTTGCGGTACCAGAAATGACGCTGTTTTAATGCACATAGTGACCCAGTTCGATTTCGTCCTAGACCTACCAAGCCTCTCATCCATCCGAAATTGGGGAATTGGTACCAGATTTCTCCGAAAACCCTGTTCGATCTATAAGATCTATGAGAGCCCTGGCATGGCTACAAGGATGAGAGAATCGACCTTGAGGCTGCTTTGGAGAGGTTTTTTGTAGTCGTAGACATGTATGT